ATTTGAACCCGCCACCTTAGGTGTATGTGGCTGGCGCCTTAGCCGCTTGAGCCACAGGTGCCGAGCCACCATCCTCTGTTTGCTGTATTCTCTTTTATCTCTTTCTGTTGGGGCTTTTTTCACTTTCCTTTACCTTGGCTAATTTGCCCATGTTGCTCTAAAGATTGCTTCCACTCTTCACCTCATTAACTCTACTCCTCATGCAAGTTTCCTCAAGGAAACCTTGACTCCCCTATCCCTCCACAGGTCAGAACCTCCCTGTCTGGTGTGGTTCCCTCATAATTCTGATTACAGTGATTTTGTATATATTTTTGTGATAATATTTGAAATCCACTAGATGATAAGATTCACAACAGCAGAACTTTGTTTTGCCCACAAGATCATATCCCCATCAAGAACACAAGGTCTGGCTGGGCACCTGTGGCTCAAGTGGCTAAGGTGCCCACTACATACCTTGAACCTGAGCTGGTAGGTTCAAATCCAGCCCGGCCCGCCAAACAACAATGACAGCTGCAACCAAAAAATAGCTGGGCATTGTGGCAGGTGCCTGTAGTCCCAGCTACTTGGGACACGGAGGCAGGAGAATCACTTGAGCCTAGGAGTTGGAGGTTGCTGTGAGCAGTGATGCCACAGCGCTCTACCCAGGGTGATAGCTTAAGGCTCTATCTCAAAAAAAAAAAAAAAAAAAGCACAAGTTCCAGCACATAGTGTGGGCCTAATAAGCATTTGTTAAATGAATGAATAAGGGTAAAGGCAACTTTCATTCACTTTGTAGAAAACTTTTGTTTCAGCACCTTTGTAAGTAAGGAATATATGTGATTGCAAATAATTGAAAATTTAATGAACAGTGGCTTAAATAAGTAGGTTTTCTATAGTTTATGAAAAATGTCAAACATACAAAAATACTTGAAATTAATAGTGAACACCTATATGCTGAGTGCACTGTTGACATTTTGCAATACTTGCTTTATTGTTTGTCTACCCATGTAGCCAACCCTCTGTCCATCTATCTCTCCATCTTATTCTATCTGATGCATTTCAACATAATATGTGCATTAGCACATTTCATCTTAAACACCTAAACATACGCATTACCTAGAGCTCAATATTTGCTTAAGGTCTTATTTAACAAGGTAAAATTTAATTCAATAAAACTAAATCCTTTTTTTTTCTTTTTTGCAGTTTCTTTTTTTGGCTGGATGTGAGTTTGAATCTGCCACATCCAGCATATGGGTCTGGACCCCTACTCTTTTGAGCCACAGGCACTGCCCCAAACTAAATCTTCAGTGTACCATTCAGTGGGTTTTGACAGATACATACATTTGTGTAACACAATCCCCTGCTAAAATATAGACTGTTACTATCAGCCCAGAAAGTTCCCTCATTACTTTTTTTTAGTTTATTCGTATTCTTACTCCTCAGAGGCAAACACTGCTCTAATTTTTTCTGCCATAAGGTAGTTTTACTTGTTCTAGAACTGCATATAAATTGGATCATACAGCATATATTCTTTTTTGTGTAGGACTTTTACTATGGATGGTTTTGAGATTCACCCATTTGCTGTATCTGTCTGTAATTCATTTCTTTTTAAAGCTTGTTAGTATTTCACTGAATGAATTTGCCACAAATTATCTCTTTACCATTATCTCTATTTGATAGACATTTGCTGTTGTTTTCACAGTTTAGGCCAATTATGAGTAAAGGTGTTATGAATTATTCTTGTACAAGTCTTTTGTAGACATATGTTTTCATTTCTCTTGGGTAAATACTAGAATTGGAAATACTGGGTCATAGGCTGTGTGTGTGTTTAGTTTCTCAGACATTCTTCTGAAATGACTAGAGTTTTATCCCCCTCTAGCAGGTGAGTTCTGAAGTGACTTTAGGTTTACCCCCTTAGCAGTGTGAGTTCTGAACTGACTAGAGCTTTATCCCACTCCAGCAGGTGAGTTCTGAAGTGACTGCAGGTTTACCCCCTCAACAATGTGAGTTCCAACTGCTTTACACTTGCATTAGCATTTAATGTTACTAATCTTTTTAATTATATCCACTCTGATGGGTTTGGAGCTGTATTTATTTTATTTCCCTTTCCTCTTACATGATACGGAATACCTAGGAGGCAGGCCAGGACTGGGGCAGCTGCAGCAATGCCAGGGACTCAGGCACTTTTTAGCTTTCTCTTCATCATTCGTATTGAATTGGCCACAATCCCATGCCTGGCACCATCTAAAACGGCTTCCAGTGATGCCTGCCTCTTGGTGTTCTTATCCTTGTAGAAGCCTTTCCTTTCTGCGTGGCCTGGACTTAGTGACTTGCTTTTGTGATGTGCTTCAAATAGAAGGCAGCAGAAATGAAGGGATTCCACTTCTGACAGTAGGTCCTAAAAAGATTGTGGCAGCCAGGTGCACACCTGCAATCCTAGCCCTCTGGCAGGCTGAGGCTGGAGGGTTGCTTGGGGTCAGGAGTATGAGATCAGCCTGAGCAAGAGCAAGAACCTACCCCTACAAAAACAGCCATAATCCCAGCTACTTGGGAGGCTAAGGCAGGAGAATTTCTTGAGCCCAGGAGTTCAGCCACTGTACTCCATTCTAGGAAACAGAGCAAGACTGTTTAAAGAAAAAAAAGTGGCTTCTGTACTGGGTGCTTGGGCGAACTCTTTCTTGGATTACTCTAGGGAAGCTAGCTGCCATCTTGTGAGGTAGCTCTGTGAAGAGCTGGGGCCTTCACAGGTGAGGAACTGGGGCCATGGACAGATGAGTGAACTTTGGAGTGGGTCTCCCCCTAGTTGAGCCTTCAGGTGAGACTGAAAAGCCATTCCTGTATTCCTGATCCACAGAAACTGGGAGGTAATACATGTCTGTTGTCTTAAGCCTCTTAGTTTTGGGATAATTTGTTAGGTAAACAATAATTGTCGAGATGTGTACCTTGAGAGCTTCATGTTCATGTCCAGACAATACGAAAAAGTGAAAGGCAAAGGACAAAGAATTTTTTTTAGATGAATCTGTCCATTTTTATCAGGAAATCGAAAACCTTGCCAGAAAGCTCACCCAGCAGATTTTGGTTTATGTCTTAATTGGCCAGAGGTAATGCCTCATGAGCATTCCTAGTTGGAAGGTGGTTAGAAGTGTCAGTGTCGGCTCGGCGCCTATAGCTCAACCGGCTAAGGCGCCAGCCATGTACACCTAAGGTGGCAGGTTCGAATCCCCAGCCCGGACCTGCCAAACAACAATGACGGCTGCAACCAAAAAATAGCCGGGCGTTGTGGCGGGCGCCTGTGGTCCCAGCTACTTGGGAGGCGGAGGCAGGAGACTTGCTTGAGCCCAGGAGTTGGAGGTTGCTGTGAGCTGTAATGCCACGGCACTCTATCCAGGGGGACAGCTTGAAGCTCTGTCTCAAAAAAAAAAAAGAAGTGTCAGTGTCTGCTGCATAGCTATTCCACAAATCCCACAGAGTTACAGACCTCTCCCTTAACAACAGGAGCTCTGGTGCTTCTGTATTCTTTTCTGTAAATAAATCCTGTCTTACCACTGATCTGTGATTGGCGGATTCATTCTTTGAATCATCAAGACCAAGAACCTACTGAAGAGGGAAATTCCAATATCATCTTCATAGGTCAGTTTCATTCTCAGGAAGAGCTGCAGTGATACTCTGTTGTATACATAATTCAATTTGCTCAAGCAATCTGTTGTTGGGCATCTAGGCTATATCTTAAATTTTGTGTGTTAACAAGCAGTGCTGCAAAGTCTTGTCACAAATGAATGTGAACACAGAAGGAAACTATAATTCCAAATTCCTCCAAGTGGAAATTCTTGGCCCTAGGAAAGGTCAAAGGCTAAGTGGGCTTTAAGGGTCAACTGATTTACTATTACCCCCAACAGCTCCCCTGTGCTGCATTCAAATGCTAACCCATCTCTACCACATCTCTACCACTAGACCCCGCATGTTCTTTGAGAGCAGGCACCTCGGAGGAGTATTCAACAGTTGGGCAGAACTGGTGCTCAAAATATTTGAGTCAGCAAATTTTACATACCGCAACATGGATTCAGGGGCTGGTCATGTAGCAGTCATCAAATAGCTATTACAATTCCTCAATGATTAGCCTTGCTTACATTATTTAAGTTTATTAAAACGGAGGTTCCTGCGCTAAGGCCCCCCCCCTTTTTTTCTTTTGAGACCTCACTATGTCGCCTTTGGTAGAGTGCTGTAGCGTCACAGCTCAGAGCAACCTCAAACTCTTCGGTTTAAGCGATTCACATGCCTCAGCCTCCCAAGTAGCAGGGACTTACAGGCGCCGGCTACCAAGCCCGGCTATTCTTGGTGATAGTTGTTATTGTTGTTTGGCAGGCCCGGAATGGGTTCGAACAGGCTAGCTGCGGTGTATATGGCTGGGGCCCTAGCCGCTGAGCTAGGCCTCTTCCTCTCCTCCCAGTTCACCAAGTTCAACATCAGCCAGGGAGGCGTGTCCGTCCCTGGGCCCGCCCCCCCCACCGCGCACTCGTTGGCCGAGCTCGACGCCGGTTAATGCAGAGTCCCGCCTAAGTCACGCCCCACGTCCTCCTGGCCGGGAGGGGGCGTGGCCATTACCACGCCGGAAGGTCTAGGCTGTCCTCTGCTGGGACTCGCGGCGGCTCGAGGGCCGGCCGGGTGTGCGGGGCGGGCCGCAGTGGGAGCTCGTGCCGCGGTCCCGAGGAGCCGGCGCTGGAGGCCCCAGGCCGCTGTCCGCCGGAGCCGCGCTCCGCCCCCTCGGCACGCAGGCCCCGCGCGGGCTCGCGTTTGCGCGCTCGTCCCCGGCGGAGCCTCGGTGCGGCCTGCGGGACGGGGCGGGCAGAGGCCGGGCCGCTGAAGTCGGAGGGGAGGGGCCGCCGCAGGCGGCGGCGAAGAGCATGTCGGCAACTCGAGCCAAGAAAGTGAAGATGGCCACCAAATCGTGCCCCGAGTGCGACCAACAGGTGGGCGTCCGGCCAGGCGCGCGGGGCGGCGAGGCGAGCGTTGCAGGCGGCACTTAGCTGCGGAGGGGCCGGCCCCGGAGCCGAGGGGCTGCCGGCAGCGCGGGGGCTGCAGCCGGCTAGGCTCCCCGGCGGCGCCCGGCCTGGGGTCTCAGATTCTTTGGACGCGGGGCGAGCGGACGCGGCATCTGTCGGGACCGCCCGGAGTGTCCGCCCCGGCTCGGGGTCGGGCGGTGGGCTCCTAGGGGGCGCAGCCCCGCGGGCGAGCGCGGCCCCTTCCAGCCCTTCGCGCGGCGAGGACGCCCAGGGCGGGGCTCCGACTGCGGCCGGCTGCACAGGCTTCTCCCGCGCGGGCCGCTTTGTTCCTGACCGAGACGTGCGAGGCGACCCCGGAGCCGTCTCCGCCGCGACCTGGGCAGACGCCTAGATGTAGCCCAGTGGGTCGCCGTGTAGTGACTTAAAGTTTCTGTGAATGTGGTGCTTTCTCCCCTGACCGTACCTACTGTATGTTTGATGCTGTACAATCGTGAATGCTGTCATCACATTGTTTTTGACAGATCGTGATTGAATAACGCCCCCTCTGGAGCTTTCCCTTAGCCCTTTTCTCTCCCACCCCTCACGGTGTCCGCTGTTGTAAATTTGGCTTGTCTGCTTTCAGGTCTTAACAAAATATATGTGTTTTTTCATGCGTTTGAGACGATTATTTTCTACACTGAGTTCAACGCATAATAATTGAAATTTAGAACATCTCATTTTAGTGTTTTCTACATGTAAACGTGTCACCTTTACTAGAATAGCAGACGTTCTCCTAAGCCTACAGTGTAACGAGTTAAAGCTTCCCCAATTAAAACCATTTGTAAGGCCCTCATTTTACGCCGACAAGCAGACCTGGGTGTGTTTTCCGTCCTTTTCCACTGAGTGAATTTTTTCAAAATGACTACCTCTCTCCTCCCTCTTTCCTTTTTAAATCATGAGAAATTTAAAGGCTGCAGACTTTTGAAATAAGCTGATATGGGTGCGTCCTACAAGGAGAAGTCTTGCAGATTAAACCTTGTAACAGAACATACAGGCTTTATTCAGTATCGTTTATGGGCGGTGTAAAAATGCTGATCAGAGAAAGATTGTGCAAGAATACAGGGTATTGAGCTATGCCAGTGTGCAGCATACATGCAAAAACAATTTAGTCATCTTTTCCTATGTGTAGAGTTTCTTTCTTAAGCTAAACTAAATTTGTTGAATTTTGACAAAATTGGACGGGAGATTATTTCAGTGTTTAATTTCCGCTTACTCCAGTTAATTGTGTAGAAGTATAAGGCTTACATGGTATGTGTTACATATTCCAGTTTCTGTAGGGCTCAAATTATTGCAAACCCTGACCTTGTTTTAATTGGCATAAAGCAACCTTTTGGGAAAAATAACCACTTTTTAACATCCTAGATAAAGAAGGAGCAAAGGATAATAAACTCGTAGGAATCTCTGAAATTTTTCAGCCAAACATACTCAGCATTTTACTTGGAAAGATCACATTATTTTGCCCCCAATATGCATACATATTCTTTTTCTTGTGAAATTGACTGTATCTTTGCTCTGGCTGTTATAAGAAAATGCCATAGATAGGGTAGCTTTAACAACAGAAATTTATTTTCAGTGCCTGGCACAGTGGATCATACCTGTAATTCCAGCACTCTGGGAGGCCAAGGTGGCCAGATCACCTAAGCTCACTAGTTCAAGACCAGACTGAGCAAGAGTTCAGACTCTGTCTCTAAAATAAACGCTGGGCTTTGTGGCAGGTGCCTTTAGACCCGGCTACTCCGGAGGCTAAGTCAAGAGGATCACTTGAGCTCAAGAGTTGGAGGTTGGCTCAGCACCTATAGCTCCAGTGGCTAAGGCACCAGCCACATACACCAGAGCTGGGGGATTCGAATCCAGCCTGGGCCTGCCAAACAACAATGACAATTACAACCAAAACATACCTAGTGTTGTGGTGGACGCCTGTAGTCCCAGCTACTTGGAAGGCTGAGACAAGAGAATCGCTTAAGCCCAGGAGTTGGAGGTTGCTGTGAGCTATGATGCCATGGCACTCTACCCAGGGGGATAGCTTGAGGCTCTGTCTGAAAAACAAACCCCGAAACAACAACAAAAAAGAGTTGTAGGTTGCTATGAACTATGACACTATGGCACTCTACCAGAGGCAACAAAGTGAGACTCTGTCTCAAAGAAATATCTTTTGTCCTTTATTCTAAATACTTTTATTTTTTTTGAGACAGAGTCTCACTTTGTCGCCCTTAGTACAGTGCTGTGGTGTCACAGCTCACAGCAACCTCCAGCTCTTGGGCTTAGGAAATGCTCTTGTCTCAGCTTCCGCAGTAGCTGGGACTACAGGCGCCTGCCACAACCCCCGGCTATTTTTTTGTTGTTGCAGTTTTGCTGGGGCCAGGTTCAAATGCGCCACCCTCAGTATATGGGGCCGGCGCCGTCCTCACTGAGCCACAGGTGCCACCTTTATCCTAAATACTTAAAGAAAATACAGTGAACCTGACGACTAATTAAAACTTATATTTATTTTATTTTATTTTTTTGAGACAGAATCTCAAACTGTTGCCCTGGGTAGAGTGCCACTGCATCATAGCTCACAGCAACCTCAAATGCTTGGGTTTAAGCATTTCTCTTGCCTCAGCCTCCCAAGTAGCTGGGACTACAGGTGACTGCCACAATGCCTAACTATTTTTGTTGTGGTTGTTGTTGCAGTTGTCATTGTTGTTGGTCAGCTGGTCCTGGCCGGGTTTGAACCCACCAGCCTCAGTGTATGTGGCTAGTGCCCTACCCACTGAGCTATGGGCACCACCTTATGTTTATTCTTTTTTTTTTTCTTTTTTTGAGACAGAGCCTCAAGCTGTTCCCCTGGGTAGAGTGCTGTGGCATCATAGCTCACAGCAACCTCTAACTCCTGGGCTTAAGTGAGACTCTTGTCTCAGCCTCCCAAGTAGTTGTTGTTGTTTGGCAGTGCTGGACTGGGTTTGAATCTGCCAGCTCTAGTGTATGTGGCTGGTGCCTTAGCTGCTTAAGCTACAGATGCTGAGCCAGTTTATTCTTAAGAGCGATTTTTCTTTTAGTGAAAGTAACTGAGTGGAAGAAAATAATAGGTTAATTTTAGCTTTTTGGTTACTTAAAAGTACAAGCTTCTCTTAGTTATAAAACAGAAAATAATAGGCAGTGCCTGTGGTTCAGGGAGTAGGGCACTAGTTCCATATACTGACAGTGGCAGGTTCAAACCCAGCCCCGGCCAAAACTGCAAAAAAAAACCCCAGAAAATAACAATAATCCAGAAAGCCATTTTCTAAACATTAGGATGCTGCTATGATTCTAAATTGACTAAAGAACATTAAATTAGAATTTAGATATTATTTATAAACATAAATGTACAATCCTTAAAGTTTGATTTCCCCAGTTGAGTAGATTTACATATGGATGTGGGTGTGTATATAAATTTAGAAAATAGGTAACAGATCAGTGACCAAGAAAGACATTTTCAGCTGCTTTTATAATACCTTTTTAGGCCTCTACTGAAAATATAGTTCTAAAACTTTCTGAACCTCAGTGCTTTTCATTTTAAGAGGTTTCATATCCACTAATTACTCAAAATTACTGAGCCATTTTGTGTGCAAGTAGTATTTAAGATTATTGTCGGTGTTCCGGTATCTTTTGTGTGTATTTCTGGTTTTGCCTTCATTTTTAAGAAATAGAACAGCTTTTTTTTTTTCACTTTTAGGTACTTTATGTGCAAACATGTCTGTTATAGATAACTTTGGTTCTCTTTAAAAATTAGTTCTCTGGAATACGGTTATTTTTAGAGCTTTTTAAAAATCAGTCAAGCAGGGTGGTGCCCTTAGCTCAGTGGGTAGGGTGCCAGCCACATACGAGGGTGGCAGGTTCAAACCCCTCCTGGGCCAGTTAAAACAACGATGACAGCTGCAACAACAACAACAAAAATAGCTGGGCCTTGTGGCAGGCGCCTGTAGTCCCAGGTACCTGGGAGGCTGAGGCAAGAGAATTGCTTAAGTCCAAGAATTTGAGGTTGCTGTGAGCTGTGATTCCTTAAGGGCAGCAAAGTGAAACTGTCTCAAAAAAACCAGTCAAGCAATATAAATATAGGACCAGGATTATTTTTTTTGACAGTTTTTTTTAAAAACCTGTGAATATGTGAAACATGCAAACAACCTAAATATACTGTTCAAGGAATGAAATGGTGCACAATATATCATCAGTAAACATTGCTTTGAATATTTTCTTTCCATTTAAAAATCTTGAAAGTGTAGCGTTAGAATTTTTAATACTACTGTTTTTAGTATTATCAACTGAAATTTAAAGAAAGTTTAGGGTATTTGTTTAAAATCTGAGTTATTCTGTAATTTGAGATGAATATTGGGGTTGTGCAACATATTTTGTGATTCTTTTTACAGTATCTGGGTTGTGATGGTGGTTGGTTGGCTTTATTTATTTATTTTCAGGGAAAGGGTTGAGGGGAAGGGACTTTTCATTTAAATAGAACTTAAGAATGAATTAGCTCATGCACATGAAAGTTTCTTAAGCATAGAACACTTTCATTGAGGGACAAAAATTAATCTGTGAACTGAATTAGTCAGTGTTTGTGTATTTTGGGTCCCAAAGCCAAATGTACATTTCTCATAAAAATAGTATAAGATTTTTTTGTGTGTAAGATGGAGACCTTGGCTCGGCGCCTATAGCTCAACTGGCTAAGGCGCCAGCCACGTACACCTAAGGTGGCGGGTTCGAATCCCCAGCCCGGACCCGCCAAACAACAATGACGGCTGCAACCAAAAAATAGCTGGGCGTTGTGGCAGGCGCCTGTGGTCCCAGCTACTTGGGAGGCTGAGGCAGGAGACTCGCTTGAGCCCAGGAGTTGGAGGTTGCTGTGAGCTGTAATGCCACGGCACTCTGCCCAGGGGGACAGCTTGAGGCTCTGTCTCAAAAAAAAAAAAAAAAGATGGAGACCTTAATTCAAATTTATCCAGTTCCAGTAGCTGGAAGAAAACGCTTGCTAATTTGCACAGGAGCTAATGAATAAGAACATTATGCTTCTGTGTATTTTGGATAGCATTTATTTAAAATAATTTACATTACTGTGGATGCCCTTAATGATATGTTTAGCTATAAAGGAAATGAGTCAGCGCCTTTGAGCTTGATTTCTATGAAGATATGAAATTTTTTCAAATGACTTCTTCTGTGGGCAGGTTTTACACTATTAAAAAAATGTAGCATTACATTTTCCATCATGATTTGAAGGGATCTCATCAGCAAGCTGTTAGATATACTTGATTTTTTTTTTATAGGATTTATGGTTATTTCTCCTACATACAAAGGAGATTCTTTTTCCTGTGTGTGTGTGTGTGTGTGTGTCTGTGTGTTTTAGAGACAGAGTCTCACTTTGTCACCCTCGATAGATTGCTGTGATGTCGCAGCTCACAGCTACAGCAAACTCTAGCTCTTGGGTTTAGGCAGTTCTCTTACCTCAGCCTCCTGTAGTGGCCCCAGCCTCCTACAGGCACCCACCAAAATGCCCGGCTATTTTTTCTTGTAGTTTGGCCCGGGCCGGGTTTGAACCCACCACCCTCAGTATATGGGGCGGGTGCCCTACTCACTGAGCTACAGGTACTGCCCTGTCCAGTGTTTTTAAGCAAAGAAAGAGATGACTTTTGTCATTATTTCATTTTAACTTAATTAGATCAAGTATGCGTATTCTAGAATATGGTGTGTTCTGTACATACGTGGATAAAAAGGTTTATAATTATAACTAAACTTTTACATAAGCAGAACAACTGCTATTATTTTGTGAGTACTTTCTGTTGAGATTAATTTCAGATTTTGGGTAAATATGTCTTTATTGTAAGGATCATTAATATTAGTGAAATGATTATGAATGGAAATCTAAACTTCTTTTTAGTGTTTTTTTTGTTTTTAAGACAGAGTCTCACAATGTCATATTTGGTAGAGTGTGTGGCATCACAGCTCACAGCACCTCGAACTCCTGCCTGGGCTTAAGCAATTCTCTTGCCTCAGCCTCTCAAGTAGCTGGGACTTCAGGTGCCCACCACAACGCCTGGCTATTTTTTTGTTGTAGTTGTCGTCATTTGGCAGGCCTGTGCGGGGTTCAATCCCGCTAGCCCCAGTGTATATGGCTGGCGCCCTAGCCTCATAGCTACAGGTACCCAGCCAAATGATTTTTAAAAATAATATTTAGTGTAGGAAATATTTATAGGGACTGGGTGTGGTGGCCTACGCCTGTAATCCTAGCACTCTGGGAGGCTGAGGATGGTGGATTGCTCGAGCTCAGGAGTGCCAGACCAGCTGGAGCAAGAGCAAGATCCTGTCTTTATTTAAAAAAAAAAAAAGAAAGACAGAAAAAGAAAAACTAGCCAGCCTTAGTGGTGAGTGCCTGTGGTCCCAGCTACTTGGGAGGCTGAGGCAAGAAGATTGCTCAAGCCCAAGAGTTTGAGGTTGCTGTGAGCTATGACACCATAGCACCTCTACCCAGGGCCACAGGGTGAGACTCTGTCTCAAAAAAAAAAAAAAAAAAAAAAAATTAATGGGCTTTAAATGTAGAAGGGAAATGTATGCATTTTGCATGTTTGGAAATAGAAGCCTAAGGAGCTTAAATATTCCTAAAGCGGAGACTGTATAACCTCAGATCTCAACTCCTACTTTTTGCTACATTCTCTTTTGTTTACTTCAGTATACTTTCGCCCCTCAAACTTGTTGTAAACTATTAGTTTTTATAGTGGTAGTTGAAATCTTCTCCACTCATGTTGGAACCTCGAGCTACTCTCATTTCTTCCCACTTTATCACCAGTCGTCAGCTTGGGCCTTACTGTTATTTTTTCTGTCTTTGAAACGTCTAACGTATCTACCTTTTCTCCATTTCCGTGCTCATAGTCCAGTGGTCTCTCATCGTCTTATACTGGGGTTACTTTAACGACTTCCTAACTATTCTCTTTTCTGATTTGTTCTATATCATAAACTGCTATCAAACTAACACGTTAGAAAATGCTACCTTTCCCCCCACATACTTCTTGTTCTGACCCTATTATGGTTTTCTGTTAGTCATCAGCATGTATTTAATACCCACTTACCAGTTTTGGTATTGGTGTGGTATGGTTAAGCAGTAGGAAAATGTGAATATATGACATGATACCCATCCCAGTTTAATGTAAGGAGTCAGTTTTGAGTAAATCTGTGATTCCTACTTAGGGTAATTTATCGTTTGAGGAGACTACTTAACCACTGAGGAATTTAACAATAGAAACATTGTAATAATATATATTTTCTCTTTCTTCTACAGGTTCCTGTTGCATGTAAATCATGTCCTTGTGGTTACATATTTATTAGCAGAAAACTTTTAAATGCAAAACACTCAGAGAAGTTACCACCTTCTACAGGTAATTGTGAGAGTTTAATACATTTTTATATTTTTGATGTAGAAATGTAAATTTTTGTAAATTAAAATTTTCTGCAGCCGCAGCACTTGTTTTATTTTGTGCTAAATTATAATTTTTTTTTAAACAGCTTAATTAGGCTTAGGGCCTGTAGCACAGTGGTTATGGTGCCAGCCATATACACTGAGGGTGGCGGGTGCGAACCCAACCGGGCCAACTAAACAGCAGTAACAATTGCAACAAAAAAATAGCTGGGCATTGTGGGGGGCACCTGTAGTCCCAGCTACTTGGGAGGCTGAGGCAAGAGAATCCCTTAAGCCCAAGAGTTTGAGGTTGCTGTGAGCTGTGACACCACAGCATTCTACCAAGGGCAACATAGTGAGACTCTGTCTCAAAAAAAAAAGTAATTTTGTTTAAAGTTGTTGCTTTCCCATTAATATAGACGAAATGGATTTATTTAATAGATGTATTTATTAAAAGATAAAATTTTGTTACTTATTTGTTGATAAAATTAGAAACTTCATACAGTGGTGATCTCAAAATAACAGTAGGTTGATTGCAGAAGCATAGGGAGCACCTGCTGTATGCCAGGCACTGTTCTGAGCCTGGAGCATAAAGCAGTGAATCTGCTGCCAAAGCATGGTTTGCTGTTGTGGAACTGACATTCTTGTGGGCCGGAGATAGACAATGAAAAAATAAACAGGGACAATATCACCTTGTGATAAATACCTTATAAGAAATTAGCATGGGGTGCTGCCCTTGCAGGTAACTGGGAGGTGGATTTTGATGAGGTCTTTAGAGGCCATCTCTTTAAGGAGATGACATTTAAATTGGGCCTCAGTAGGAAGAAGGAATAAGATCAAGGAGATAGATGGAAATAGCAAATGCAAAAGTTTTAAGCTGGACATTCTATATTGATACAGGATGGTGGCTTGGTGCCCATAGCGGTTAGGATGCCGGCCACATGCACTGGGGCTGGCGGGTTTGAACCCAGCCAGTGCCTGCTAAAACAAACAAACCGAAAAAAAAAAAAAAAAAAGGAGACACCTGTAGACCCAGCTACTTGGGAGGCTGAGACAGGAGGATATCACTTGCGCCGAGGTTGGTTCAAACCCAACCCAGGCCTCCTAAAACAAAAAAATAACCGGGCGTTGTGGCAGGTGCCTGTAGTCCTAGCTACAAGGGAGGGTGAGGCAGGAGAATTGCTCGAGCCCAAGAGTTTGAGGTTGCTGTGAGCTGTGATGCCATAGCACTCTACCCAGGGTCCTAGGATGACATAGTGAGACTCTCAAAAAAATAATAATTAATACAGGATGGCAGTTGCCCACAAACTGTATGGCCACCTTGTATATAGTAGAACCTCCATAGTTGACCACCTCCTTAAGTTGACTTTATTTTCATAGACTGGACGTGCACCACATTTACATATCAGTATAGCAGGGTGTATGTTGACCACCTCCATATGTTGCCCAGTTTACAGTCCCTTAGATGGTCAGCTTACAGAGGTTCTACTGTATTCTAGCAACAAAAACACCACTGTGATTGCAGTATAGACAGCAAGTGCAGGAAAGTGAAGGATGAGTTCAGAGGGATAAGCAGGGACCAGACAATGTAGGACTTTGTGAACAAGAATAAGAAGTTTGGACTTTATTTGTAACATGTGGGGAGAAAAATGTCTCTCAGTTGGTATGGAATGAGGGGAAGATGACATGCTCTTATTTGCATTGTATTGATAGAAAGATGATTATGGCTGCTGTGTACAGAATAGTTTGTAGGGGTACAAAGCTATAAGTGGGCTGTTGCAGGAGGTTAAATGAGGGTGCTGGGTTAGACAAGGAGTGGTGATAGTAGCAGATGGTTCAAAAAGTATTTTTATTTATGTCTGAGAGGTCTCTTTATTTTAGGTCCATGTAGAAGTGGTAAGAAAGTTGTTTGATTCAGTTTCTGTCTCTTTTGCAGTTTGCTCCATTTTATTGTATTTTGTTTTGTTTTGTTTTTGAGACAGAGTCTTACTATGTCACACCTTTAGTAGAGTGCTGTGGTGTCACAGCTCACAGCAACCTCAAACTCTTGGGCTCAAGTGATTCTCTTGCCTTGGCTTTCCAAGTAGTGGAGACCGCAGGTGCCTGCCACTACTCCTGGCTAGTTTCTCTCTTTTTAGTAACAATGAGGTCACTACTCCTGGCTAGTTTCTCTCTTTTTAGTAACAATGAGGTCTTGCTCTGGCTGGTCTCAAACTCCTAAGCTCAAGCAGATCTCTCGCCTACGCCTCCTAGAGTCCTGAGATTACAGGTATGAGCCACTGCCCCCGGCAGTTCATTGGTTATTAATGGCTGTTACTTTAGGATCCATCCAGAGAGCATGTTAAAAATGGATTCTGGGCCCAGTGCAGTGGCTCATGCCTGTAATTCTAGCATTCTGGGAGGCCAAGGTGGGAGGACTGCTTGAGGCCAGAAGTTTGAAACCACCTGAGCAATAGTGAGACCCCCATCTCTCAAAATGAAGAAAAATGAACCAGGCATGGTGGTGTGCACCAGTAGTCCCAGCTATTCAGGAGGTTGAAATAGGAGGATTGCTTATGTCTGGGAGTTTGAGGTTATAGTGGGCTGTGATATTGCACTGCACTGTAGTCAGAGTAAGAAAGCAAGACCCTGTCTCAAAACAAAAAAAGGTTCTTGGATCCTGAATCTTACTCTCTGAGAATTTGATTTAGGTTATGGAAACCCTATTTTGGGTGGCATGTTAGCTCCATGCTGAGTCTCTGAAAATGAATAAGATGTGGTCTCTGCTCTTAGTGGGATGGTACATTTGTGTATTTCTTCAGCAAGTGATTTTTTTTTTTTTTTAACAAAGAGTCTCACTATGTTGTCCTGGGTAGAGTGCTGTGGCATCACAGCTCACAGCAACCTCCAACTCCTGGGCTTAGGTGATTCTCTAGCCTCAGCCTCTCAATTAGCTGGGTCTATAGGCCCCCACCACATGTTCTTGTTGCAGTTGTCATTGTTGGTTAGCCGTCCTGAGCCCGATTCGAACCTGCCAACTTCGGTGTATGTGACTGGCGCTGTAACCAGTGTGCTACGGGTGCTGAGCCTATTCAGGAAGTGTTTTTGAGCTTCTATTGTGTACCAGTGATTCAGGTAGGAAACCCAGGTAACAAGTCAGAACCAGATGAACCAGAGGGAAGAATTGAGAATGATTCCTGAGTTCTCTGACTTGGATTGCTGGTTAGAATGGGAAAATACATGGTAAAATGGGCTTTAAGGGAAAAATGAAGAATTGTGAAACATCATCCATAAGAGTTGGACATACAGTCTGAAGCTCAGGGGATAGCCTCAGTTGCAGATAAAACTTTTGAGCTGGGCGATGCCCGAAGCTCAGTGGGTAGGGCGCCGGCTACATACATACACTGAGGGTGGTGAGTTCAAACCCGGCCCGGGCAAGCTAAAACAACAACAATGACAATTGGAACAACAACAAAAAAAAATAGCTGTGCATTGTGGCAGATGCCTGTAGTCCCACCCACTTGGGAGACTGAGGCAAGAGAATTGCGTAAGCCCAAGAGTTTGAGGTTGCTGTTGAGCTGTGATGCTACGGCACTCTACCCAGGACGACAACTTGAGGCTCTGTCTCC